AATGCCATATGGTCTGGGCTTATCAAGGGAACATCTTCTGACTTCACTCTGATAATTTCACAGTGGTATCTTGCTTTTCCCATCAAAGGGCACGCGGTACAGGGTTCCTTGTTTTCAAACTTGGATCTCCTTTATCAGGACCACTCCTATCATATTACCCTATTAGCTTGCCACATTCCATAGGTGATAACTGCAGTAACAGATCAATTGTCTCGACCCAACCGGATTCTCGTAACAGATTGGATGCTACAATGCAAGTTTTCTGTTGGATTGGCTCTCTTTTTGAAACATTGATGATTGCTGGGTTGAACACTCATTGGAACACTCAACTACTGGCAATTTGGTCTTCAGTTCCTCAACTTCGGCCTTTGGCAACAGATGCATTCAATCAGGAAGGGATGAGATTACAACTCGAGAAATTCCTTCCGATTCGTATGTTATCAAAGGTACACACTATGACTTGCTCCAACCCATTCTGGGGTCCTGTTGATAGCAACGGATTGGAAGCTACACCCTGGTTTCTACTTCTGCATTACCTTAGGTGGTGCCCACCTGTTCCACTTCATCTTTGAACATCTCTGGGGATGCAACCATGATCTCACATGGTCAACCCAGCCATACCCATAGTTTTAAAAGTTCTTGAGTGACCAGAACTTTTCGTAGGGCATTTAAATTATTTGTATTGGCAGTGCTTTGTATGTATGTGTGTGTGTGTGTGTGTGTGTGTGTGTTGTGTATATATATATACACACACACACACACACACAACAAACAGTTTACTTTATGATTAATTATTTTACACAAAAACAGTTTACTTTATGATTAATTATTTTACTACAAGCTATAAACATGTACTGCTATAAACTACAAATTCTGTCCAAAAATTACCCTTTAAAGACAAACATCTTTCACTCAAATAACTACCACTCTGCAATGTTTATATTAACCATAATACACTAGTGAACATTATTCTATGTTAAGTTCACACATACATAGAACTTAAAATTTTTAGTAGAAATTCTAACTATTTTTCAAAAATATTAACAAATTGATATTTGTTATTTTGCATAAATTATTTGGTGTACTTTGCAAAAACTTTAAAAATGGTTGAACTCTGATTTCTGCACAACTTCAAGGAGTATCACCTGTAAATAATACCATTATAGATTTTTTAAACTTTTTCTCACCATCCTATTGTAAAGTAAATAAAGTATGGCAATATAACTAGCAGAAGTTCTCATAGAAGAGAACAAAGGATTCTATTACAAATATTGCAAAAACTCAAGAATTAACCACAAAACTGGGAATTTTTAAAGTTTCTTTTGATATTTTTTGTTCTTAATTATCTTTTTGTGTTGTGTCTGTTTGAAAGTTACAGGAATATTCTTTGATGAGAATACATTAGGTAAGGATATTCAGAATTAGGGAATACAATAAGCTAGGATTCTGTGACAGCAAACTACTCAGATAACAGAAAAGCTTTTTTTCGTGTGTTAGTAAAGTTATTTGTACTGTTACGAAAATAGACAGGTTTAAAAACTCAAAGACAAAAATATGAAACCCTCTAATCTAATTATTGAAAACGAATGATAACTATTAAAGAGAGAGAAAGTTAGCTTGATCAGTTATCTCTTTCAACACGAGCTTGGTGCCCGAGACCAACCTGCTTGTTATAGTTTTCATGCTATAACTTATAAATTAGTAAATGTATGTTCACAAAATTTGGCAGATTATCAGTAAACATTACAAAGCTGTTATATGCAAAATATCAGATTTTTTTAACAAGTCTCAAGATTTGTTAAGCAATGTTTTTCTCATGACTTTTTTTTCTTTTCACATGTTGCCTATCTAACATGCAAACTAATTTTCATTGTAAGATTAAAAATACTTTTGTGCATCATAAAATTTTGAAATTTCACATGCAAAATATTTATAATGTCCAGATA